TGAATAATAGTTGTATTAACTGGTCTTGTAGGCATATGGATCTTCTTACTGACAGCATTGTACTTCAGAACAGATCTTGAAAGATCTTTTCTGATGATGAATGCCATGCCGTTCCTCTTCAGATTGTCATTCCCAGCATAGTAGATCATATTTTTGGCCATTTCAAATTGGCCAAAACCAGTTCATTTCAGCTCACTAATGCCTAGGATACCAATCTTGATGTGTTCCATTTCATTTTTGACAACTTCCAATTTTCCTAGATTCATACTTCATACATTCCATGTTCCAATTATATGGATGTTTGTAGCTGTTTCTCCTCAATTTGAGTCATGCCACATCAGCAAATGGAGGTCTCGAAAGTTTTACCTTATCCGTATCAGTAAGGCTGGTTTTACTGTGATGATTCAGCTCTTTCCCAGTTGTATTTTGAGAGCCTTCTAATCTAAGTGACTCATCCTCCTCCTCTATTTGGACAATGTTTCTGGACTATTCATAAAGTTATGCAGTAATGTATCAGACATTGTTTCTCTGCTATTCATAAGGTTTTCCCTGGCCAATTCTTTGAGAAGTGGATGGCTTCTTCCTTCTTCCTACTCTGTCTCACTTTGCAAGGGGTGCTGAAACCTGTGCACCATGTGCACCCTGCTAGGTTTCAAACACTGGTGGCACAGCCTGAAGACTCACAGCAACACATCACCACAGCAGGACAAACTGACAGACAAGTTTCTGTCCCTTAGCTGTTCAAAACCTCTCCAACCTCCCCTTACCTGGATCCCTACTGCCGCCTCCTTGCTCTGTCCTGGCCCCCTGGCCTTTTTCCTCTCCTTTCTCCCACTTTCCTGCCTTGTCACTTGTGGGGCATGGCCTGGGTTCTCTCCTCTCACCTGGATCCCTGTGGCTGACTCTTCGGTGTCTTGCAGACCCCCTTGCCTTTTTTTCTCCTTTCTCCTGCTTTCCCACTTTGCTGCTTGTGGGGTGTGGCCTGGGTTCCCTCCTTTCACCTGGATCCCTGTGGCTGACTCCTCATTCTGTCCTGGTCCCCCTGGCCTTTTTTTTTTTTTTACAAAAGTTTTACATAACATGTATAACTAGCTCCCTTTTGAAAGACATTAAAAAATTTCTCCCTCACATAAAGTGTCACAAAGAGGTCAAAAGAAAAATTACTAGCAAGATATATGTGACAAAGCCTAATTTTATTCATGTTTTCAGAGCTCTTAAACATGAATAGGAAAAAATGATAAAATAGCACAGGATCCTCCAAAATCAACCTTGAAAAAAGTACAGAAATAGGAAGGAATTGGCTGTGGGAAGTAAAATTAAAATTGTGAGAAACCCCTAGGAGATGCAAACTAGTGAGTGATTAGGGTGGGAGGCAGGGGATGGAATAACACTGCAGTCACCTGAGGGGGAGGAAGTCTGTGGCATCTGAGGAAGAGCTGGAGAGGATTTAATTTTAGCTCCTGTCTCATTTAGCCTTAGAAATGGGAAATGTCACTGGCCTACCAATGGCACTTTCAGAGGAGCACTAAGTCCAGCTAAAGAAAGAACTTGGTGAAAATAGGTACAGGATATTCACTCCATGAATTCTCCTTTTGTAAATTAGATTGAATTGTGGATCCAAGTAAAATGAAATCTATGACAACTTCAGTATCTACTCTGTTGATCATGATGTTGCATATTGGCCCAGTTGTCAGGCTTTTGTTCTCTACTTTGAGATGTAATCTATATTGAAGGCTGTAGTCTTTGATCTTCATCAGTAAGTGCTTCAAGTCTTCTTTTCTTTCAGCAAGCAGGATTGTATCATCTGCATATCACCTCTTCTTAATGAGTCTTCCTCTAATCCTGCTGCTGTTGTCTTCTCCATGTAGACCAGCTTCTTGGATTATTTCCTCACCATACAGATTGAATACATATGGTGAAAGATACAACACTGGTGCACACCATTCCCGATTTTAAACTATGCAGCATCCCCTTGTTCTGTTTGAATGACTGTCTATGAACAGATTTTATATGAGCACAATTAAGTATTCTGGAATTCCAATTCTTCACAATGCTATCTATCTATAATTTGCTATGATCCACAGAGTCAAATGTCTTTGCATAATCAATAAAACACAGGTAACCATTGTTCTGGTATTCTCTGCTTTCAGCCAAGATCCATATGACATCACCAATGATATCTCTTGTCCTACATCCTCTTCTGAATCCAGTTTGAATTTCTGGTAGTTCCCTGTTGATGTACCACTGCAATTGGTTTTGAATTACCTACACCACTCCTCGGAAGGAAGGTTGGGCAATCCTACTTCCGTAGTGATACTGCCTCGGAAACCCAAGGA